CTGAACTGCTATTGGGCTTCATCCTTATGGGATTTTGACCAAAGCTTGTCACAGACATTACATTAGGACACCAGGGAACTAGCTTAACTTGTTGAAATAGGGTATAAGATGTCTCCTTTAAGCACAAACACAAGCTCGTCTTTGGGTTTCAAACCAAGATGGAAACCTCCCTCCCGGATGTGTGAAGCCCTCACCTCGTCTTCCTCGGCCCGTTTGGAGGGCCGCATGCTGCTCCTCTCCCTCTTGATCTTTCCCCCTCCGGAGCTCAGGCTGATGGCCGGGGTGCTGGACAGAGGATAGGCCGGGCCGCCGAAGCCCGTTGTGCTAAACCACACACAGACGGAGCATTAGGAAAACATCATTCAGGCTCCATTTACATGCTCTACTTTGGTTCAGGAGAAAAATCTACATAGGAGTTTAACTGGTTCCATGACCGACTTCGTATGTTAAAATATTCGGATGTTGGTTCAAATATTCCCATCAGAATACACTGTAATTCCTATAATTCGTTCCAAAAACCTACAATAACTCCTTAATAAATACTGCAGATAATTACACATAGTAATAAAGCAAATTAATTATATAAGAGAGATGTAAAAAGAAGGAAATGATAAAGAACTAATCAACAAAAAGGGTTTTTATTGGCAGGTAGAGGTGGGGACTAACTTACTCTGACTTTACTACCTGAACTTTAAATCAACTTAGCTTATCTATTTTCATTTAAAAAATTTTTAATGACTTGTTACAAATTTACTTTGAGTGTGGAGTCAAACATTTGATCAAATTTCACTTGGGATGTTGGAAAATGTGTCTGTTTAGGCTTCATAAGCAGATTTTGAACAGATTTGCTTGGATGCAGTTGGATGAAAAACCAAAAACTAAAAAATAAAACCTACTTTTCGAAACAGGAAAATGAAAAACACCAAGTTGCTTGTTTTCAGTTTTACCTTTGAGAGGGACCTGGGGAGGCTTCGGGGAGTTGTGGTGATTGTCTTGTGGGCTGCAGGAATAAAGTAAAGAGTTAAAAGAGTTAAACACAGTTAAGTCTCCCAGAGTCGGCCTGTGATTCCTGCTGCTTACGGTTTTCTCCCTCGGGGGCCGGTCCAGGGCCCGGCCCGGCCCCCCCGGGGTCAGGGTGGGCCGGAAGGACACGGCCCGGTTGGAGGAGAAGGAAGCCACCGAAGGAACCACGAGTTTCTGCACCGGGGGGAGAGCTGAGTCCATCTGGGGGTCAGAAAAGGTGTGAAACAGGGAGTTTAGACGAAGGAAAACCAGCAGAAAGCAACACTTCCTACTAAATATGGCTTCAGTGGGAAAGAGACCTAATTCTAATTAAATTATTGACATTATCACTATCAATTACTATCGCTTATTTTAGACCTATTTTGGACAACACATATACTGTAGTTACTTATGTATATATTTATTTATATTCTGTGTGGAATTTTGTGTATATATTTATATGTATATGCTGTTTTATTACCCTGAGCCATGGTTCTGCTCCAGGTTTCTGCCTGTTAAAAGGAAGTTTTTCCTTGCCTGTGTCGCCTAGTGCTTGCTCATGGTGGGATTTGTTGGGTTTCTGTAATTAACTTCAGAGTAGGTCTGACCTGCTCTGTTTGGAAAGCGCTGTGAGACAACTGTTGTTGTGATGTGGCGCTATATAAATAAAATGTAATTGAATTTCTGGAGTTAGTAACAAAAATTATTTCCCTCTGGGATTATTCAAGTATTTCTGAACTCTGAGCTGGGTCTGCTGACCTGTGGCTCAGAGTTGCACCGCTTGTGACCATAATCTGTCCTAATAAAGTTAATTTTATCAATAAGTAATTTTATCAAGTACATAGGTAAGCACTGTTCTTACTCCCGATGTATAAATAGATGCCGATATTTGCAAAAAAATGCATATCAGCCGGCATGAGAAAATGCCGATCCAGACTCCCGATCCAGTTTAAAATAAAATAAAAACTATTTTGTTTTCCAGCACATCGATTAAAATAATCCATTCCACTTTGCCGTGTTGTTCCCCAATATCTAGTCTGGTTATTGTCCAGCACAGCCTTTAGCATTGGCATCTCCTGACCCCCAGGTCTGTGTCAGCTATCGGTAAAAATGTCAGTTTTGTGGGATTATTTTATCCTTAAGGACGAAAAAGAAGAAACGGAGTTAAGAGACTATTTTCTATTCAGTTTGTTTGTGTGTTTTGCTTTTTTAATAGAGTCTACAATATTATTAGCACTTTGTACTGATGCCATTTCTGTTTGTTATTGATAATTTGGTCTATTTTGTGTTTATACCTGAATAAACAGGTCCAATACCAACCATTTTTTATTATTCAAACTCCCCTAATTCAGCTGGCTAGTTGTTATCAGAGTACGTAGATAAATAACTTTAAACTTTAATACATGCTCTGATAGGCCGGGATCGGAAGTTCAAAAACCTGGATGTTGACGTCCCTAATTTAAACAGATTGTAACAGAACACAAAGCAGAGCCAGTAAAGTTTGGGACATCTTTTAGCCTCCATTAAGGTAAAAAAGCGGCCTTCATTTCCGGCCGGTGGTGGTCAGAAAACGGTTGTTTGACCCTTCACAAAGCAGCTGTCGCAGACGGGACAGACAGTTACAACCGGGCCCACAGCTGGCCGCCAAACAATGGACCCCACTTCACTCTCTCTCCAGAGCCAAACACACTCAGCCTGTGTCTGGCTCTACACCCACACACTCTCCACAGCCACACACACACACTCTCTCCACAGCCCCACACACACACACACACACACACAC